GAGCCCGCTTCCTACAGAGACGGCTAACGCCGCAACATAGAGGTCTCCGATACGGGTACGTCTCAGTATTTAGTCAGCACGTGACCATTCGCGACGATTGAGGGTGATTGAGGCCTACCAGTCTGTAGCCAATATCCATCGCTAACTGGACGCACAGTCAGCAAGTGACGCCGATGATTTGTTGGGAGTCAATAACTGCAAGTTTATCCTCTTTCTAGCCAGCCCTCAGGAATGAGCCAAGTGGCCAAAACTGTGTGGCGCCAAAGTGGCCATCAAAAAGGTCAAAGGGTTAGAAAGTTGGTAAACAGACTTTTCAGGATGGATTACCAGCTGTCTAAGAGTGTTCTTTCGGGGTACATAACTCAAGGTGACTTAAGCTTTGCTTACCGGAGGGCTCAAAACAGTCAAAAACGTCTTAAAATGGCCAAACATGAGTTTCGTTATGCCTGAGGCTAAACAAAACTAGAGGGCTGATGACATCAACCAGGTCATCTGGACTAACTAGTCCACGTTCGAGATGAAACACCCGTCCAAACCCGAAAACAACCCCATAAGGGCGAAGGAGGAGGCCTTCATTTCGTCCCGTTATGTTCCTATGCAAAAGGCCAGGGTCACTGTGTTGTGGGGTTATAGGCGTTCTGGAGTTGATCAAGTTACAAGTGGCAACCCGGAAACAGTTTTGGGAAGCAGAATGCTTTTCCAAGAACATCTAGGAGGAATTTCAGCCCTCAAGCTGAACTCGAACCGCGAGTATGAACACATTTATAGAGGAGAAAATGGCATCCGGGAGGTCGTAGGCCCATCTTCAGGCAAGACAGTGCATCAGTGCACAGGTCAAGCAAAGCTTAAAAGCGGTGCAAGGAGACTGTGACAGGCGTTTGTGGCAAGATCACATGCCAGGCACCTCATCGGATCAAAATTTCATAAAAAATTTGTTGGTTATGCTGAAGTTGAGGCTCGTTGAAGCGTAGCGCTGTTCCAGCCTCGAGGAGCTCACGGCGCATGTCAAGTCAGTCTTGGTTAACTTTAAGCCTGCTATGCAGCCAAACATGCCGGTTGGCATGCCGCAGCATGTGTTCATGTGTTTGCCTATTAAATGGGGAGCACATTGAGGGGTCATAAATATACCAAAACGCAATGTACTCTGTTTCACATGCAAACATAATGTGAGAACGAACTTATGGGACACCCTGTATGCTTGCTATGCAGCCAAACATGCCGGTTGGTATGCCGCAGCATGTATTCCTGTGTTTGCCTATTAACCCTATTAGTGGCAGGGGGGGTTGTTTTCATCCACCCCTCAGGTTTTTCGGGAATATCTCCGAAACCACTGAAGCTACGATGCTGAAATTTTCTGACTTTTCCTAAAACTAAATTGGGCACTTTCCTGAAAATTTCAAGTTCATAACTTTACCAGGGGCGGCTCCAGAGCACTATCGTGAAGCGAGTCATTTGGGCAAAGATAACGATGCTGATGTATTATAACTGTATGCACCAGTTTTACGAACAGTGAATGAAAGGTATCATGTGATAACATATACAAAGTTATTGTGCATCCTCTTTTGACACGTTTTTGCTATAATAGGCGGATCCAGGCGTCCAAAAAGGGGGGTTATGTTTTACCTCCCAACATAGGTGCCCTGACACCGCCTATGCATGACCAATACAATTGTAGTCGTTCATAATGCATATTTTGCATATTTGCAATTTTTTTGCAATATTTGAAAATGCATATTTTTAGGATCCATGTGAATTCCTGGTTCATTCTCTATCGATCGGCAAAAGTTGCGTTAAGATTGGTTCAGAAACCTGGCCGTGATAAACAGTCTAAAATGTATCTGCAATTTGCCCGTTTTTACCCCCCTCTACCCCCTATTGACATTCTTTTAATTTTTATTTTTTAGAAATGTAGATCACGTTAAGCGAAATCGAATGCCGTTTGAATTTTGAAAATCGGCCCGTTATGTAGATCTCGAGATATCAAGGGGGTTCGTAAACAGCCCCCCTGCCACTAATAGGGGTAGCCAGGAGCCTGCCACTAATAGGGTTAAATGGGGAGCACATTGAGGGGTCATAAATATATCAAAACGCAATGTACTCTATTTCACATGCAAACATAATGTGAGAACGAACTTTTGGGACACCCTGTACAGCGTCCACGCCACATCAGACCAAACACAAAGTTCCGTGACAAGCATCGTAGACCCGTTTTCGTACGGAGAAAAGTAGCAGCTAATGTAGGCAAGAAAAAATATATAGTAGACGGCTCTATCAATATTTTCGGCGTGTAGCCTGATAGTTTAGACTATGGGCTTCACGATGGAAGAAAAACTTTTAGCGGAATATATAAATACGCTCCAAATGTTAAGTTTTCTTAGATGCTTTTCAAATTGCGAGTTAATTTTGCTGTTATAGATATTCTGGAATGTCGATATAAAAAGTCCCGCTAAGTCCCGCTCTTCTTTTATCTTTATGGTGTTAACCAATCAATTGCCTTTTCAGAAAATATAGGGGAGAGTGGGGTGGGTTGTATCAGTTTTTACTCCGAGACCCATAACCTCGTAACTATCCGTGATAAACTCATTATTTCCATACTATCTCCTTCCTTGATTCTTCTGCTTTTTTGTGCAAAGTAACTTTTCCGCTACCTCTACCAGTTTTTCTTCTACGGTCTGCCGAATAGAACAATGTTTTTGATACAACTTGCCCCATGGCTTGGGTGAGTTGTATCACATGATGGGGTAATTTGTATCACTATTTCACGTTTCAGGGAGTGTGCTTGCTACTGGTTTTGAACATACCAACAACATTAAATGGGGTTAATACAATGTATATGCTCAAAGGCTTCACTTTTATTACACCAAACTCGTCAATCCGAACGAAACATCGAAACGAACGGAAACATCAACAGACTAGAAGCAGAAGTGGCCCGTTAAGAGCAAAGAAGCCAACACATTGTGCCGAAATGGAACGAGTATTGACTAGCTACCTACAAACGCGAGCCAGGGCTTAGCTTTCGCGATCAAAAGCAACATACCCATACATACATACATACATACATGTTACAACATACCCCACCCGGCTCTGATACAACATGTACCTCGCCGCCATCTTGGAAAAAAACACCCTCGTGCTCAAAAACAGCGGACAGCTGGAGAAATCCATTTTCACTCACGCAGCCTTAGAACCTACCCTCACCACCGCTACGGAGATCTTTCAAATTCGTGCACATCTAAATGCCCAAAACACACATTTTCTTGCAACTTATTTTTTTAGAATGACATTAAAAAAACATAAAATCGGCTCTCACCTCGAGACGCGTCCACCCAGCCACACGACAGAACAGGGAAAGATGGCGCCCGGAAAACCTCGTCGGCTGGTTGTGTCACGAGCGCCATCTATTGGATAAGTTTGGCACAATTCGCCCTGATACAACTTGGACATGATACAACTCTCCCCGCTCTCCCCTACAGTTCAGCTGCCTCAGACTGCCACAGCGAAAATGAGGGGCTTTTTTACTTCAGGTCGCCGGCGCTGGCCGTGCGCGCGGTTACCGCGAGCCGGCCGGAAGCTGTGAATAACAGAACCTCAGTAGTTGTACAAGGTTGCCAAGTGCCAACTATATTTAAGTTTTGTCCCGACATATCCAAACCTGCTTTCGGAGCGTCTGATACACTTTTCTGACCCGTACTTAATTTGTTATATAGTCATGTAGGTCATCAGATTCCCATCATGCATGATGGGTCGTCGTCAAATGTAGCCACCAAAACCATGGTTTTGGTGGCTACATTATTTGCTTATCGGAATTTCCGGTGCCGTCATGACCTGACCTGACACTTGTTGTGTTGCCATCTTATGACGTGACCGAGCCGAGTCGAGGTCAGCGCAGGTCAACTTAATTAACACATTAATTAATTAATTAAATTACTAATGATTGATTAATGAAATTTGTCAGAAATTGCTTAGAAAGTACACCGACTACCATTTGTATGATTCTAACTATCATCCCTTTCATGTGAAAAGCGGGCACGAAACACGAAAAAGTACCGATGTCGCGCTAATTTTCGCTCCGGTCCCATTGTGCACTGGTGCGCACGCTGGCGCTATCCCGATTTATCGGGCCCGGCAGGTCAGAGGGCGCTCCGGGACGTGAAGCGAGGCCGCGTCCTCGGGACATGTCACCGGACCGAAGGATCTGTGTAAAGGCGGATCAGGCCCGTGTACCTGCGTCCTGGGACGCTGGCTGGCACAGCGGTAGTCCCCACGACCGAGCGAACACTCTCCCTCCAATTACTACCATCTCCTGGGTAGGAGCCGGCCGAGGAAAACGCTGCCAGATGTCAGCTTTGATCCAAGGACCTCCAACACCAAACGTGAACGCACTTGTCAACTACGCCACATTGGTGGTGCCATATTTGAATTTATTTTATAAGAATGTGTTCTATATTTTTGGGGTTTTAGTCAATTGTCAATTGTCATCCGTAGTTTAATGAACGGTTAGCTGTAATATAAGTGATTTCTAAAGAAAAGACACCTATTCTGCTTGCGATTTCGATTTAAGTCTGACCCGCACCTAGCTTCGAACGCATGATTTTTGGGTCACGCGGCACAGGCATCCTAATTCCTAACCACTACACTACCGCGGCGGCGCAGCGGCCGGCGGAAGGGAGACTGCGGAGACATTTTTTTTTACTCATTTTTTTGTTGGAAAAACTGATAGGTTTCGTGCAAAACTACTCTAGATAATTCGAAGGAAAATGTCTCGTCTTTCCGATGATGCACCTAGTTTTATGTTATCTCTATTAGAGTTTGTTCTACAGCGCTTCAAAAATCGCCCATTTGCATGGGACTCAAACGGGACTTCAAGACTTGCCCCCAGATGACGTCACGAGCTGACGTCACGATCAGGTAGAATCGCCGGAAGATCCTTCCTGGTATATATGTATGGCCTTGGCCCTGGATACCAGCTGCCTCTGACAATGCGCCGCTGTGGGCCGCAGGTGCAGTCGAGCCGCCGCTGAAGCTCGCTCGCACGGAGCAGAGCGGGCCCGTTAGGCGCCAGCTGTCCACCTACCTGACTGGAGAGCGCTGGGATCAGGTGAGTTTGTGCCGCAGCCCACTGCACCCCCCCCCCCCCTTGCCACCCCCGAGACGGGCTCCACCTGAGGCAGGCCATGCTTGAACGCAGCCCCACTATTTCGGTTATATCGCCCCCGCTTGTGCAAAAAGTGTCACGGCTTTGAACATCTATTTCCTAGCTATATGGCCTACAAGGTGCCCTAGCATTACCTGAACATTTTTTTTTTTTTGCTAAAAGTACGATTGCACCAGATGCTTATGCTTATGCACATGCGTCATACTTCTATGAGGCGTCCCCTAGCTATCGAAATTTGAGATTGTGTGCTTTTGGTGGCCAGTCACGACTCGAGTCAGTTATTATTCAGTCAGCAGAGTAGTCCTTCTCCGTTTTTAGCCTAAGCCGCCTGTTACTTGTTGTCAGCGACTCAGCGCCTGTTGTTAGATGTAAGCGCGCCCGCTATTCTGGCCGCCGCTCGTGACGTCACTCACTGACCGGGCGGTCAGGCGGCCAGAATATCTACCAGCCAGAATATCTCAACACCGCCAGAAGGCAGTCATGGTGAATCAAATGCCGTTCTCTACTTCGCAAACGGACTTTCGGATGGTTCTTGTTGGAGAGCTCTAGCAGTTCATCTGCAAGCAGATAGGAGTGAGCAAAGCGCAATTACCATGCGTCCCAATAAAAGATTTACTCGGCTGAACGCTGAACGTCAATAACTTATATGTAGCCTTTGCGTTTTAGTCTTTTATAACAAAGCCGATTTCAAAATCACATGTTTGTTATATTAGGTAAGGACAAGATAAAACATAACCCAAAACAGGCACAAGCCCGGCCGACGCGGCCGGCCCCTGCTCTGCTAACTCTCTCTCTCTTCGTTTAGTTTAGTTTAGTTCCTTAGTTCCTTTAGTTCAGTGGTCGGCAGGTCATTCGGGGTTGTGCCCCCTTTTAGGCGCCAGGCAGGGCCATTACCCCCACCTACCAGACCCCATTGCTGACACAACCAAGTTTACTGAAATTCCATACCTTTCTGGAACTCTTTGGGTATTTCTGCATTTCCGATGCATCAGATTTAAAACATGACACTTCCTCCACAAAACATTTAATATATCCCATTTAACCCTCGTACATATAGGGGCGGCGGGTGGTTTTTCGTTAAAAGCTCACGTAAAAGCCGTTGGATCACGACCAAATTGTACCCTCGAGCTAATCATTTTTTTTCTTTACCTGCCCGGGAAAACCTGAGGCCAGTTTTACCGACAGAAAAATAGCCGCCTGCCGGTGTTTTTGCCTAAAAACCGCTTCACATACATAAGCACGTAAGCGTCACGTAATAAGTAAGCGCGATGAGCATGTAAGTGGATAGGGGCTAGGGCTTTACTGTTTACGCTCCGTATGTGAAGCGGTCTTTAGGCGAAAAAATTCCGGCAGGCGGCTATTTTTCTGTCGGTAAAAATGGCCTCTGAACCGATAATGATCATTGGCTTATGAGCTTTTTCTGGAGATCATCTTGAGCCATAAAATCTCACTTCAAGAAGATATAGCGGGCCCCGATTTTCTCGACACTTGTCTTTGACCTCCTGAATGAGACGAAATGACCAAGGACCTTAAAAATGGGCAGCAGCGGCTTCCTATAGTCACGGGTATGCACAGCTCCATCTAAAGGCCGCCCCACACTGGACCTCGCATGTGGTGTTCCCAAATAAGTTCCAAAATTATGCCTCACTTCCAAAGTTATCTATTCATTTTCGAAAATCCATACACTTTTCACACTTCACAGAATTCCTCCAGTCTAGTTTCTTCATGAACCCGTATTCGGAAAAATAAAAGCTCGAGAACTAAGCACGAATAAAACGGTCTGATATACCTCTGATTTGCTTTCACTCTTAACAGCTTAAGAACGGCGGCCACGTACACATTACACAACATTCTCCCCCGGGGTAGAGCTCAGCCCACCCTTCTTGGTCATCTTCGAGTCGGTCACAACCCTCGCGCGGATGCAGCCTCCAAGAGGTACAGCTTCTGTATGGGCCGTCTTAGCTCGCCGCGTCCCGTTCGCACAGTCGCGGCGCGGGTTCGTCCATCGCGCCCCGGATGTACTGCTGAAATGATGCCCGTCGTCCAGGTCAGACGATTGGGAGAGCTCTCGCCCTCGATGAGCACCAGGTCTCCCGGTGCCGGCGCCAGCTCGACTTCGGGCGGGAGCTGGTCTCTCAGCTGCCTCAGATATTCCCGCTGCCAGCGGTTCCACAGGGCCGTCGTTATACGGCGCTGGTAGCGACGGCGACGTGTCAGCTGCTGGGGCTCGCTCCCCCGGACTGGGCTGCGGTCAGATTCCAGGCTACAGTGGAGGAAGTCGGCCGGCCTCAGCGGACGCTGGTCGTCTGCATCATCGCTCACTGCTGTGAGCGGTCGCTCGTTGATGGCCGCCTCCACGGAGCAGAGCGCCGTCTCTAGCTCCTCCCAGGAGAGCAGCGCCGCTCCCAGCGTGCGACGCAGGGCGCGTTTCGTGAGTCTCACCATCGACTCCCAGAAGCCGCCCCACCAAGGCGCTCGCTCCACGATGAAACTCCAGGAGACTCCCTCGGTGGCAAGAACAGCGGCGGCCGCCTTTAAGTAGGTGGCGTTGTCGCTTAGAATACTGGTCGGGCTAAGCCTACGAGCAGCAAAACGACGGTAGGCGCGGATGAAATCTTCAGTTCGTAGCGACCCGACCAGCTCTAGATGCAGCGCGCGCGTGACGGCACATGTGAAAACCGCCACGTACGCCTTATGAGGCTCCGATCCAAACGGTCGCTTGACGTACAGCGGCCCGGCAAAGTCGACGCCAGTGCGACTGAAGGGCCGAGCCGCTGTCACTCGACTGCGGGGCAGGGGAGCCGGTCTCATGGCGAACGGCTGAACGCGGAACAGATGGCACTTGCGGCACCGGCTCAGAGAGGCTCGTACGATCTGGCGCCCGCGGACGATCCAATAGCGATCTCTGATGCTGTCAAGGACTTGTTGGACTCCAGCGTGGCACAGCTGCTCGTGAGTTTTCATCACCAGAAGATCAACCAGTCGGTGATTCGGCGGAAGGATCGCCGGATGTATCTCGTCTTCCGAGAGACCCGAGTGTTGAAGCCGTCCGTGTTTCCTCAATATCCCTTCATTCAGTGTGGGGTTGAGAGCCTTCAACTTCGACTGATGCGGCAGCTAAAGACCCGCTTGCAGAGCCTCTAGCTCTTGGTCATACTCAGCTTGCTGAGCGTCCATGATCCAAAGGCGCTCCGCAGCGTCGATCTCGTCACGAGACAGAGGGCCACAGAGACTTCCACCCGATCTACGGCGCCGAGCCCATCTTAACCCTCGCATGTGTAGGGGGGGGGGGGGGTCGGATGGACCCCCCCATGGTTTTTCGCGAATAACTCGCGTAAAAAGCGGCCGATCGCGACGAAACTTTCAGTACCCTCGCATTGATCAATTTGACACCTACCCTGAAAATTTCATGACCCTGACCCAAATGACCTTTGACCTGTGACCTCTTTTCCGAGACCATGTTTGGCCGGAATCGCGATTTCGCGTATGTCGGCTCGCACTAGCCGCGTGTTTGCAAGCTTTTCGTGGTTTCAAACATTCAAACATGTGATTTGATGTTACTCCCGTGTGTGTCAAGGTCACCTGAAGGTCAGGTCAGGTCATTGACCTTTGGTGACCTCGGGTGACCTCGGGTCACTTTTTCGAGTTTTACATGTTTCTAGGCTAGTTTTTGGAGCTGAATTCGAATTTAGCAACCATTTGAACATTTACGAAGTAGTTTTGGTGACTTCGTAACATGTTACGAAGCTGTCAGAGGCGGTTGACACGTACTACGAATACCCGTCACGACGCCTACTGGTTGACCTGACCTGACCTGACCCGACCTGGTCTAAATGCTTCAAGACATCATCTGTGATCAAAACTAACACGATATTCGTGATCAGCACCCCGAAAAACCCCTTAGCAGCCACACTTTACGACTTTCTAACAGGTCCCGATTTTCCCGACTTTGGGTCATTGACCTGACCTGGAAGGTCAACCAATGACCTAGGACCTTAAAATTGGGTATCATCGGCTTCCTCTCGTCACGGGCAACACGCTCGTTTTTTCCGCGAAGCTCTAGCTCGATCAGGGGCCAAACGGCAAGGGGGGGGGGTCCAACCGACCCCCCCCCCCTACACATTAGAAGCTGGCAAACGCCGCACACATGCGAGGGTTAATGTCCAGGCGGTGACCCTCATCAGCTTGTTCCAGTCACTGTAGCGACTGATGTCCACGGCCTGTCCAACACCGGCTGGCCGCGCAGGGGCTCTGACAGTAGTCAGAGTCTGTTTCTTGGCCTCCACCAGACACTCGGCTGGCCCCTGGCTCGCTGGAGGCTGCGGCGGCCAGTCAGAGTGATCGGCCCCGAGCCACTCTGGGCCGTGCAGCCAGAGGCTGCTCTTCCTTTGGACGGCAGGTCTGCCGGGTTCTGGCTGCCAGGGCAGTGCCTCCATAGAGTTGGTGAACAGAGACGTTGAATTTCGTTGATCCGGTTCCGTACGAAGACTCCCCACCGTTGAGGGTCGCTCCGTATCCAGTAAAGCGCCACCATAGAGTCTGTCCAGCAGCCGTCTATCTCGGTGCGAGTGTCCAGCTGGCTTTGCACATAGGTGACTAGCCGGGCGCCGATTAGGGCGGCGGTCAGCTCGAGACGAGGCACTGAGATGACATGACGGGGGGTGAGCCGCGCCTTAGCCATGACCAGGGCAGGTGGGCTGTGCCATCCTCCGGTCTCAGATACACGACTGCCGCAAACCCTTCCCTACTGGCGTCGCAGAACATATGGAGTTGGTAGCCACGATCTGAGCCGATCCAGTAGGGGCGCGGAACGCTGAAGCCGTCTATCTGCTCCAGCTCCGACAGCCACTTGCTCCAGTCCTTGAGTACATCGCCAGTGACCAGCTGGTCCCAGGATTGACCAGCAGTCCAAAGTGTCTTTAACAGAAGCTTCACTCTGACTG